TACTATGGACCCTGGCCCTGCTCCCATTGTCCTCTTTGGCTGTCCCACCTTCTCATCTCACTAGGCTGGTAGCCAGTGCCTCACTCTTCTGCAGCAATCTCTTCCCTGCTGTGTCCTTTCATGCCTGTTTTGAATTTACCGTTCTGAATATTTCAGCTGCTTCTTGGCTGTCTACAGTTCGGAGGTCAGACTTGTGTTGTTGTTAGTTGCCATGGAGTTGGCTCCAACTCATGGCCACCTTATGTATAAGAGAATGAAATGTTGCTAGAGTCCCTTGCCATTCTCACATCACTGGTATTTTTTAGCCCATTTTTGCAGCTATTGTATCAGTCTGTCTCATAGAGGGTTTCCTTGTTTTTGCTGATCCTAATTGTGACCTTAATTTTGTTGTGTCTAATTGGTCTTAGAGTTAAATCATACAGTAAGAGACAGGACACTCTTATGCATTTTTTTTCCTTTTAAAATGCTTATTATTATTATTTTTTTACAACCCTTATTATTTCTTGGATTACATGGGTTAACATCGTTTTTTTAGTTGTGGTAAAATATATCTAACTTAAAACTTGTCACTTTAACTATTTTTAAGTGTACCATTCAATGCTATTAATTACACTCATAATGTTTACAACAATCACCACTAAATTTATTCCCAAAAAATTTTTAAATTTTTTCCCATAGAAAAATTTATATATACATTGTTATGTGACTCTATTTGCTCTCCTCATACTGTGACAGCACACTCCTTCTTTCCACCCCTGATTCCCCATGTCCATTCAGTCAGCTCCTAACCCTCTCTGCCTTCCCATTTCACCCCTGGACAGAAGCTGCCCATTTAGTCTCTTTTTATCTACTTGAGCTAAGAGGCACACTCCTCACGAGTATCACTTTATGTCCTACAGTCCAGTCCAGTCCCCTGTCTGAAGAGTTGGCTTCGGAAATTGTTTTAGTTCTGGGCTGATAGAGAATCCAGGGGCCATGCTTTCCGGGGTTCCTCCAGTCTCAGTCAGACCATTAAGTCTGGTCTTCTTGCTAGAATTTGAGATCTGCACCCCACTTTCTCCTGCTCCATCTGGGACTCTCTGTTGTGTTTCCTGTCAGGGCGGTCATTGGTGGTAGCTGAGCACCATCTAGTTCTTCTGGTCTCAGGCTGATGAAGTCTCTGGTTTATGTGGCCCTTTCTGTCTCTTGGGCTCCTACTTTCCTCGTGTCTTTGGTGTTCTTCGTTTTCCTTTACTCCAAGTGGCTGGGACCAATTGATGCATCTTAGATGGCTGCTTGCAAGCTTTTAAGACCCCAGATGCCACTCACCAAACTGGGATGCAGAGCATTTTCTTAATAAGCTTTGTTATGCCAATTGACTAGATATCCCTTGCAAGCATGCTCCCCTATTCCCAAAATTTTTTTTATTGTCCCAAACAGAAACTCTTTACCCATTGAGCAATTACTCCTTCTCTTCCCTCCCTCCAGCCCCTGATAACCTCTATCTACTTTCTGTTTCTATGAATTTGCCTATTCTAGATATCCATATAAATTGAATCACATAACATGTGGCCTTTTGTGTCTGGCATCTTTCAGCCAGCATGTTTTCAAGGTTCATCCAAGTCATACCATGTATCAGGACTTCATTCCATTTTATGAATGAATAATATTCCATTGCATGTATGTACCACATTTTGTTTATTCATTCTTCTATTGATGGGCACTTGGGTTGCTTCCAGCTTTTGGCTATTTTGAATAATGCAGCAAAGAACATTGGTGTACCCAGGAGGGGAACCTGTGATTCTGAATCTTTACTGTATTGATTGGAGTTGCCTATGTTAGCCACTCATTCAGGATTAGTAGTCCCTCCCTGGGTAGTGCAAATGGTTAACAGCTGGACTACTAACCAAAAGGTTGGAGGTTCAAACCCACCTAGGGGCGCCTTAGAAGACACGTCCTGTGATCTACTTCCGAAATGTCATAGCCTTGAAAACCCTATAGAGCAGTTTCATTCTGCACACATGGGGTTGCCGTGAGTCAGAATCTAACTAACAAGGGCAACTAACAACAATGACAGTCCCCCACCTCAGTGGGAGGTTTAGTAAACACAGGTATTAATTGCATTAAAAATATTTATAATAAAGCATCATAGCTTTATTATAAATATAAAGTTGGGATCACTTGTTTGGAGATCTGCTCAAATGTTCTGAGCACTAGCTTAAGGCCCTTCTCACTTTCTAACCCAGATATTGTTCCTGTCTGTGGGATTACATTTATAATTACAGTTTTCAGATTCAGGGAGGTACCTAAGAATTCAAGCTTAACTCTTTCATGAGGAATGGGATATATGTTCTCCCACTTACAGTTTCCACCTCTCAGGTTTTTTGGGAAGCTGCTTTCTCACTGGTAGTGCATGCTGCTGCCAGACAAGGACCTGCATAACAGTTTGAAACTTCTTTAATGGGCATGTGCCACAGACTACTGTTTATAGGGTATTATATGAGGTGTTTGAATTTCTGGTAGGAAAAATAGAAATTTTGAAATTTTTCATTTGGGATACATAAGTCGTTGTGGACTCTGGGGCTAGAATTTGTGGGACAATGTATGTCCTTCGATATAGTAAGGGTAGGCTTGTGGGATGGGGCAAGAGAAAAAAAATCCATACTATCCACCAAAAATTCAGACACACTCAGTGATTCAGCATGCTTCCATTAATGAAAACACATGGTATCAACAAACAATTCAGAGCAGAAAATAATTGACTCGTTTAAATGAATGTCTGACCATTCACTACCTTCCTGGTTAAACTCTGTCCCATCGGTTACAGTCTAGTCTGTTTGAGTTGTAAATGTCTCAGGATAAATCATCCAACTACAATTTATTAAGTAATCGACTCAATGGCAGTGAGTTTGGTTTTGGGTTATTCGGCAAGGTAAATTTGGCACTGGGGACAGAATTAGAATAACAGCTGAGAGTCAAGTGAAGGGTATGTATATAGAAACAAATACATATGGAACAGCAAACCACAAATGTGTCAGGTGTGTACAGAGATCCTAAGAAGCTGCATGGGAGAGGGTCCTAACTGATGAGGAACAGCTTTGGGTGGCTAGGTGACAAAGAAAGGCTGCATGGGCAGTCTATGAAGAAGGACAGAGTCTTTCTAGCTTATGAACTCGCCCCAGGGGGCCAGAGAGAGAGAGTATGAGAGTGGGAGGGACTCTTGGTCTGAAGTTCAGGGAGTTGTGCAGACTCCTGAGCCAGTGGCTGGTCCCCGATGACTTGGCCCTTGGTGGCCGGGGACATTTTGACCTGGCTTAGGATGGCTGCGGATGACGTCTGCCCTAACTCTTGAGTGGTTAGGGTGAGAGAAGAAATACCATAGAAGTGGCTGGTGATGAGGATTGGAAATGTGGGAAGTTGAACCCTGGGAATTGGATTCATGCTGATCCTCGCCACGCAGTTAGGGATGAAGGTGAGATTTGCCCATCTTGCCCCTTTAATAGAGCAGTCTGTGTCACACATACAGATCCAGAGCACAAAGTGTATGAAGCAAACGTATTTGGGAAAATAGCATGTGGCCTGTGGTTCAGATCACTGAGTTTACAAGTGCTCAAAGGCATACATCTGGGTCATTGAAAAATAATATTTTTATTCTAATCATTTCAAGATACAAAGCCTTTAGCGGAAGCATTTTATGTGGTGTGATTTGTGAAACGGCAAAACACAGTATTTCTTGAAGAATCTAGCAAGTTTGAAATAAACATTTACATTTAACACCTTTCTGCTTTTCTGTTACGTTTTTTCATTTTGAGCTGATCGTGTAAGTGAAAATCAGAATCTATGCCAGAAAATTTCCTTGTCAGATCTACATAAGCAGAGGTGGTCTGGGCAAGCCATGGGAGTTGGTCAGTGCTAACATGGCCTTGTGGGGGAGGAAGTGTGATCAGGGTCATTTAGCCACCTCCATTCTTTGCATGCCAGGGCCAGGGCACTGTGCTGGACCTTGAGGACCTAAGGGGAGAGTCACCTCCTGTCTTCAGGGAGTGCCAGGTCTGAGGAAGGGCCACACGTGTGAAACATGAAACCAACCAAGGCTTGAACACAGCGTTACAGGAAACCAGAGGAGAGCAATGATCTTAGTCTGGGAGGAAGCCACAGAATTTAGGTGAGGTGGGAAGGGAAGCCTCACCAATGCAGAGGCTGTTGAATGGGATCTGAAAATCCTCTCATTCAGACTCTGTTTTTTCCTTCTGAACTGGTACATTTTTCTTTCCCTTTCTCTCCATTATTTTCTTTTCTTCACTCACCCTCTGCCTCAAATTTCTTCTGTTCATTCTTCTCTTCCTCCTCCTGAAGGTCTAAGTAAAGAGATGGGGAAGAAATGAATAATAGCAGCTAACATTTATTAAACATTTTCTTAGTGTTGGATGCTATGCTAAGCACTTTGCATGCATAATCTAATTTAATCCTCAGAGCAGTTCCTTAAGGTTTATATGCTGTTAGTATCCCCCTTATGGAGGAGGAAAGTGAGGCACCCGTAAATTCTGACTCATAGTGACCCTATAGGACAGGGTAGAGCCACCCCATAGGGTTTCCAAGGCTGAAATCTTTACGGAAGCCAACTGCCACATCTTTTCTCCTGCATAATGGCTGGTGGGTTTGAACTGCCGCCTTTTGGTTAGCAGCCAAGCACTTAACCACCAGGACCCCTTAAAGTGAGGCACGCAGAAGCTAAATAACTTGCTGAGAGTCACACAAGTTAGAAGCAAGACTTGACCCCTGGCAGCATGACTCTAGTGCCTGGTTATTTAATGCACTACTCGTGTTCCCTGGGTTTGGAATATGGGCCGCTGGTGCTACAAGAGATGATTTAAGTGATGCCTAGATATTAAATAACATTGATTCACACAGGGAGAAAGTTATTCCTTTTGCATTTATCTTTTAATCCTACGTCCTCAAAAAAAAAAAAAAAAAAAAAATTCCCCAAAAGCTTGATTCTAGTCTTTAACCCGGCTTTATTTTACATCTCTCTTTCTAAGGAAGAGAGCAGGTTTCAGGCTCAGAACTTTCACCAAGTAACATATTTTAGTGTATCATTTTGATTCTGTTGTATTTATGTTCATTCTCACCTTCAAAAAGTCTATTTAAAGAAAAATATAAAGTCCAGAGAGATATGGCAGTTGTGACAGAAGGTGGAAGGTGGTGTGAGAATGCCTATTTGGGGGAGCACTTGCTCCTCAAGGGAAGAATTAAGGAGTAAAGATAACAGCCAGACAACCATGAGAGTAAAGCTTTAGCTTTCTTCTCTTTTTTTAACCTAGGATTGAGGGAGGGCTGGAAAAACTTTTCCACGTGCTAATTTTTCTTTCTTCTGTTTGAGGAGTCACATGGTAAGGTATTAGGAGTCAGTCTGGCTTAGTGAACCCTGTTCCAGACATGTAACAGATTTATCATTATACAGCCATCTATCTGCATTGGCACTGGCAATGGAAAGTGGGTTAAAATTGTTATCTTTAAAACCAAGAAGAACAATTTGTATGCCCCAACCAGCTACTATCAAGTCGATTCTGACTCTGGCAATCCCACAAAGTTTCCAAGGCTGTAAATCTCTACAGAAGCAGACTGCCACATCTTTCTCCTGTGGAGCTGCTGGTGGTTTCGAACTGCTGACCTTTTGGTTAGCTGTCAATCGTTTTAACCACTGAGACACCAGGGCTCCTTAATTTGTATGCAGAGGACCCTAATCTGATATCTTAATTCTTTGAAACAACTAAATTCACCTGTTTATAAGTGAATTTTAACTATATCTCAAGTTATCCACTTTTTTTTTTCCTGGCAGTGCCTCAAGAATCAAAGAAACGCCTATTTAAACTTCTTTACACAGTGGTATAAAAGTTCTAAAGCCACTGAATTCTGAGTAGTTACAGCTCACTAAATGGTAATTCTTTTTTTTTTTTTTCCCAAGGACAGCACAATTAGATTTTGGTAAGATTGAGATTTCAGTGTCTTTTGGTGCATTTGTCAAGACAGATTCACCAGTAGTTTGCAAGTGTTCATGAACAAATCAGGTTAGCAATACATTGATACCAGCACAAATAGATTGGGCTCATCACTGCATAGACAAAACAGTCAGGAGATTGGGTTGGTGTTGTAAGCACAAGTGGCATGATATAATGAAGTTGTATTCCATTAAGCTCTTGTGTACAGGGGAGCAAAATGTCATCACCTGAATGTGGCTGCATTTCTGTGATACAACCTCATCTGTTCCGTCAACTAGTTTTGCTCTGATCAATAAGCAGTTTTCTGTGGCCTTTCACTGCTGTCAGATGTCATTGAGTGATGTAAACGCACGTCAGAAACTAGAAACTTGACAGCTCGCCCAGACAGCTCACCCAGAGTGGGAAGGGAGAGAGGAGAGGGAAATCGCAGCCACGGACATGGTTGACAGCTGACATCTCCTCGGGGTAACTGATTGGGTACTGTAGCAGCCGGCACTTTTTCCATATAAATACAAAGGAAGATGATCCTGTTATGTGTAATACACAGAGCAGATGTTTTAAAATAATTTAAGGGAAAAATTATTATTGTAAACTGTAACATATTGATTGTGTAGATTGTTTATATAGAATGTACAAAAAACAGTTACTGTTCGTATTTGACTAAGAACAACAAAGGAAATGAAAAATGTTATAGTTCTACCCATTTTCTCTATTATCTCCTGCCAAAACTAATTTAAAAAGTTTGTGTCAGTCCAGAAAGAGGTGTAGCCAAAAAGACAGTTCCTGTAACAGTATTCATGCAATAGAATGCTATGTAGCAATAAAAGGAGGAAGAGGAAGCTCTTTATGTCCCCATATGGGAAGATTGCCAAGATCCATTGCTAAGTGAAAAAAGCAGGAGGTAGAGTGGTGTGTAATGTGTGGTCTTTGTGTAGAAGGAAGGAAATAAGACTGTTCACATGGCAGATAACAAGGCCGAAAGGATCCCTGCGAGACTGTTAACAGTGAGTACCTGAAGAAGGGAGTGAACGGTGGCAGCTGGTTGAAGAGTTGGGGTTGTGAGGAAGACTTTTCACTGTATGTCTTTTTATGTCTTTCTTTTCCTTTTTTTAAATGATATTTTACTGAGTTTTTGGTGAAAGTTTACATAGCAAGTTAGGTTCCCATTTGATAATTTCCACACAGATTATTCAGTGACATAAGTTACATTTATCACAGTCTATCAACATTCTCTTTTTTTTTTTTTGTTTTGAACAATTTCTGCATGTACAGTTTGGTGACATTGATTACATTCTTTGAGTTGTACAAGGATTCTAACCCCCCTTTTCTGAGTTATTCCTCCCTCATTAACATAAACTCACTGCCCCCTAAGGTTTCTATCTAATCTTTCAAGTTGCTGTTGTCAGTTTGATTCCATACAGATAGTTCTTAAAAGCACATAATACTCAAGACAGACCTTTTTTACTAGTTAAGCTAAACTGTTGTTTGGTTTTAAGAAGACTTCAGGGGATATTTTTGGTTTAAGGTTAAAAGATTATCTCAGGGCAGTAGTTTCAAGGGTTTATCCACCATCCATGGCTGCAGGAAGTCTGGAGTCCATGGGAATTTTAAATTATGTTCTGTATTTTCCCCCTTTTGGTCAGGATTCTTCTATGGAATCTTTGATCAAAATGTTCAGTAATGGTAGCTGGGTACCATCCAGTTCTTCTAGTCTCATGGCAAAGAAGGCAGTTGTTCATGGAGGCAATTAGCCACACATTCCAGATCCTCCTCCTATTCCTGATTCTTTTTCTTCTGTTGCTGCAAGTGAATAGAGACCTTTTATTGTGCTTTAGATGGCCACTTGTGTGCTTTTAAGACCCCAGACTCTATGCAGTGAACTAGGAGGTAGAACAGAAGCAGTAAACATGTTATTAGGCTAATTAACTGGGATGTTCCATGAAACCATGACCCTAAACTTCCAAACCAAGGAATCTAATCCCATGAGGTGTTTGGTTGTACATAACCAGGTTTAGCAGATACTTTTTTTTTTTTTTTTTGGTTGTTGTAAATATATCTATCACACAACTTTTTCTAGTTCAACTGTTTACAGGTATACAACTTAATAACAGCAATTAACAATAATTGACAGTGCAACCCTACCCTTCAATTAATACGATTTTTCCATCACCGTTAACCTCCCTTTTCCTTTTTCCTCCCACTGGTAACCACTAATAAACTTTGGTCTCTGTACATTTGCTTTTTCTTGTCTTTTTATATAAGTGATGTCATGTAATATTTGTCCTTTTATGATTGGCTTATTTTGCTCAGCATAATGTATTCAAGCCCCATACTGTGGCATATATCAAGACTTCATTTCTTCTACTGGCTGAGTAGTATTCCATTATATGTATGTACCACATTTTGTTTATCTGTTCATCTGTTGATAGGCATTTAAGTTTGTAAAAATGGCTTGAGGGCAGTGTCTGACCTCCTGTGTCTTCCCAAGGGCGAAGGAGAATCAAGGTCAACAGCCCAAGACTTATTCCTATGAGGTGGAAGTCAGACATGCCTTCTCTCTCCACCATTTTTACCAACTCTGACACCACCTGTCCCTCTCATGGCACTCTACTTCTCTCCTGGGTTCAATAATTCATTGCAGTGGGTACAGAGAACTCACAGACCATACTCACAATTATGGGGTTTATTAGGGAAGTAACAGGTTACAGTTCAGGCTCAGGAGCACTCAAGGATAGGTTCTTCCATCAGGACAGCCTCTTCCCAGCCGTGCTCGCAGTCATACCTCTTCCTGGCCCTCAGTCTCTGCCTAAAGGCATTCAGCTTTCTCTCTCCATGGGCCGGGACTGTGCCATCTCCTGCTGCCAAGTCTCTGCCGCCTGGTCTCTCTTGCTGGGTCTCTCCTGCTACCACTTCTCACCGTCTCAGGGTTACAGCTCACTGTCTCTCCATCTCTTCTTCCAGGAGCTTCTTCATGCAGGGATCCTGGGTCCAAATGATGTGCTGACTCCTGGCTGTTATTCCTTGGTGGCAGTGGGATTCTATCTCTCCGGCCCCTGGAATGGCTCACCTCAAGCCCAGTGGGATGGCAAAACTAACCAATCCCTTTGGTGGGCCACAATTACCATATCTGCACAGTCCAGCCTAGTCACTTGGGTGGGAGTTACAAGACCATGGCTAGAAAGCCCACACAAAAATGATCCATCACACCACAAGGTTGTTTCCACCTTTTGGCTATTCTGAATAGAGTTGCAATCAACATTGGTGTTCAAGTCTCTCTTTTTTTTTTTTGTTTTTTGCTCAATAAATATATATATATATATATATATATATTATTGTACTTTAGATGAAGGTTTACAGAACAAATAGTTTCTCATTAAACAGGTAGTATACATATTGTTTTATGACAATGATTAACAACCCCGCGACATGTCAACACTGTCCCTTCTCAACCTTGGGTTCCCTATTACCAGCTTTCCTGTCCCCTCCTGCCTTCTTGTCCTTGTCCCTGGGCTGTTGTGCCCCATTAGTCTCGTTTTGTTTTATGGGGCTGTCTAATCTTTGGCTGAAGGGTGAACCTGAGGAGTGACTTCATTACTGAGCTAAAGGTGTGTCCGGGGGCCATACTCTCGGGGTTTCTCCAGTCTGTGTCAGGCCAGTAAGTCTGGTCTTTTTTTGTTAGTTAGAATTTTGTTCTGCGTTTTTCCCCAGCTCTGTCCAGGACCCTCTGTTGTGACCCCGGTCAGAGAAGTCAGTGGTGGTAGCCAGGTACCATCTAGTTGTACTGGACTCAGTCTGGTGGAGGCCGTGGTAGTTGTGGTCCATTAGTCCTTTGGACTAATCTTTCCCTTGTATCTTGTTTTCTTCGTTCACCCTTGTTCCTGAAGGTGTGACAAGTCTCTTTTTGAGTCTCTGCTTTCAAGTCTTTTGGGTATATACCTAGGAGTGGAATTACTAGGTCAATGGTAGTTCTATTTTTAGTTTTCTCAAGAACTGCCACACTGTTTTCTACAAAGGCTGTACCATTTTGCATTCCCACCAGCAATGGATAAGGGTTCCAGTTTCCCCACATTTTCACCAACATTTGTCTTTCTTTTCCTTTTTAAACCATTTGAATATATTATCTATTCAAAACATTAAATTATAAAAGGATATTTATTTTTCCCACACATGAAATGGCCTTAAATACTTGAAAAGATACGCGGTGGTTATCATATTAACAAAGGATATGTATTCCAAGAGCACTCTGGCTAAATTATCCATTACCAAAGCTAGAAATAGACATTCAGATATATTAGAATGAGGGGTAATGAAATCTCATAAATTGCTACTTAAAATGATTGTAATGTCAAGTATCACACTGACTAAAATTCTAGGACACTTAGGTAATAAAAAGAATAATAGCTATTATCTATTGAGCGCTTACTATGTGCTAGACACCTAATAAGTGCTTTATAAATAGCACTTATTTGAATCCTCACAGGGAAAGTATCATTGCCTCTGTTTTAACAGATGAAAAAAACCGATTCTCAGAGCTTATTGTAGGTCACACAGCTAAGAAGTGGTAAAGCTTGAATCTGAACCTAGGTTTTCAGTCTCCGAAGATAAGTCGAGGGTGTGAGTATTAGAGTGGAAACGTCAGGTGCATGAGTGTGTGTTTCGGGAGGACAGTCACCTTAGACTCACCATGTCAACAGGAGGAGAGCACAGTGTTGATCTGGGTCGTCCTTCATCATCCAGACTAAGCCAGTTTTCTGTTACGATGACTTTTTGACGCCATCTACATTTCCTTCCAGATCCTATCAGTCATAATCGTATTATCACAATTGGTTATAATTTTCTCTTTCCTGAGTTCCTCTGGGGAGGGACCATGTCTCTTTTGGGCCCATGGTACCCCAGCTCAGAGCCTGGCCCACAGAAAGCACTTGATAAATATTTGTTGAGAGGCAGATCCTGTAGTAATGACAAGAGTACATTACATTGGTGTGGTTATCTCTCACAAACCACCTAATGGAATAATTCTTTCTAGTGAATGCTTTTACTAATGAGGAATGCAGCCACGAGGCCAAAGTGTATTGAGAGCTTGTAAGTTCATGGCAGAAAGATAGCAGTTTATTCTATAAATAGTGAACTATCACTTTACTATTAGGAGTAACAGCTGTAAAGGGAGAAGATTAGGGAGTTAAGAAAATCATCAGAGATGAAGTTTACTTTGAGAATGGGAAGCTTAATTGAAAAAGTCCAATAGGACAGAGTTGTTTTAGAACTTTAATCCTACCATTCTCATATTCAGGGTTTGAGGTACTCTTTGCCTAGTTTCCAGATGTCTTGAGACTGCCCCTCTTGTAGGCTAATCCCCTGGGCTAAGCTAATGCCCAGGCAGCTCCTCTGTTCACTGCTACCTCCCTCTCTACTCCCTTTTGTTTTCACTTTTATTTTTGAGGTTCTCTTCCTGTTCATTTCAGGACGAAGATTGTAAGAATATGGGGAGGGGTTCAAAGTTAGGACCATCCCTACTGCTTCTCCAGGGCCAAGCCTGAGGAAAGACAGGCTTTGGAGAGTGAGTGTGTGGAGGCAGGTGGGGGTGGGTGGGTAGGGGAAGGAATTTAGGGACATGGCTGTGGTGAGGATGGAGGCTCCGGAGTGGATGGTTCCTGACCACCTTTCTCTTTTTATCAGATTGAGTTGAAAGTAGGTGGGGATGCTGCTAAAAGGTACATGGAAAACTGTGCTTTGGATATTATCAGTCTATTCTTTACCCATCCTTCTCCCTAAGACTGTCTTAAAGTACCTTCTCTGTCTTCACATACACCTTCAAGGCACTTCTCATGAGGGATGAACAGGCTACAAGAGATAAATATGCTCCCCTATACCCTTGTCACCCTCTCTCACTCATCTGCTAGGTATAGGGAACCAAGCCCCTGGTAAGTCGTTCTTTCTCATACTTCAAAATCATGCCACCAGCCTAGTCATTACATAGTTTTGATTGGAACTCAAAGCTGATCATTTTAGCATACAACACTAGTCATAACATAGATGGAATATATTGTCTCATCCTCATGAGTGCCAACGTGGATGTT